CAAGTTAATGTGTTCGATGCCTTAAAGTGAATTTTATATAGTTTTAATAAGCTTGGTTATATACATATATAAGCCTGATTAATTGCTTAACTAGTTAACCGATCAAGCATCAAACCCGTCTGGAGAAGCACCAACTGACCCCACAGATGCTTATTTTGTTCATTCCTTGATGGTGATCAATGTCAGTTCGGTCGAAACCTCGGAAAAGTCAAAAATAAAATTTTTTTATTTTCGTGCTGCCAATCATGGAATTAGAAGATGTAATAATTGGAAGTTATCCTCGTCACGGAATCGGTGTGAACCTAAGAAACTATAAACCAAGGAAACTGCACACTAAACTTTGAATAAAATATGAACCCATCAAATGCATTACAGTAACATGATGTATAAAAGAAACGGGATGTATTCAGTGTTCGATTTTATAACTGGATAGGAACCTGGGTACTTATTTATAAACTGTTCCTAACATTACAGTGAAAATAGAATGTTCTGCTCGTGCTTTGATCGTCATGTTGAAAAAATAGCGTAAAACACGGTGTAATAATATAAAACGCAAAAGAAAACGTCATCAATCCGGTGGCTGACAAATACCCACGTTTCAGGCCGGGTCTTACGTGCTTTCTTCACGGAAGGTAGATAGTAGAGTTTCGTAAACTTCGTTTCTCGCCGCAGCAGTTGATTGATATGGAGCTTTGAATAAGGCCCATGAAATACGGGACGAACCCGCGGTGCTGGTCAGTCACTTGATTAACATATTTTTTGCATTATGCTTTATTAAACCGTATCTTATGCCGTTTTTTTCAGAATGACAGTGAAGCTACTATTTACTCAAATTTTTCTATAATTTTCTTCGAGTAAGGAAACGACGCTGTAAGGGATAAATCGCTTCGTAAAAAATGACGTACAAACACGAAAATTTGAAGCACGTTTTTTATATAAAAGTACCGTTATTCGAAGATCTATTGAACATCCATCATATCCTTTATTATCGCTAGTTCGCATTTCATTATTATCTATATTTCAATCGAACGAGTTTTGTTTCTTAAGCTTAAGGCAAGATGTTCGACGTATTGACATCCTATGCTTTTCTTAAAGTATTCGAAGTACGTCAAATTGAAATTGTGTCTGTCCACTATTAGACATTGACGAAAACGCTTGGTCAAAATATGGCGAAATGCCAGCAAATGCAGTATCATCGAGTTACAACTAACCTGTCACAAATTATGAATGAAAAACCTGGATCGTAAATGAAGAAACACTCAAACATGAAAATGCAAAGTTCCTATTTTGAGTGTTCTCATTGAAGGGCTGCAAAACCAATGCATGGGCTTAGCACAGCATGGCAGTCAATATCTCCTCTTAAAAAGGTAAGAAAACAAAAATCTGCATTGTTTCGAGGGCATATCGTAATGTAGAATAACGCGTACCAAAAAAATGCCATTTCAGGAGTGTTTAGATGCTATCAAAATACAGACTGCATTGTTAAAGTTCTTATAATCAAAAATGACGGGTTTACGACTTTGCCGCATATATTCCAAAAGAAAGATTGCAATGCATTTTAATATTTTTTAACTCACTGCGAGGACAGATCACGTTTACGATTTGAAACTATGTCATTGACATGATTATATGCAAAAAATCTGCCGACTCTTTTAAGCAATGTCATGAAAACTAAAAAACGGGTGACGAATTTTTTAACTTCAATCCATCTCGCAAAAAGTAAAACAAAAAAACCTGCTGAAATTTCGACGTAATGGTAAAGCACAGACAGCATAGGTTTCCATAAAATCTACAACAGCAAGAGAACTGAACGGAATTAAGAAAGGAAAGTTTGTCAACGTTGGAATATCGGTCTTCCTTCACATTCATGACTGGCTCATTTTCGCGCCCTTGGTTTCATGAAGTTGATGGGGCGGTGCTGATCTCCTGCTTCTATGCCATCCGCCAGAATTACCTCATTGAATCTACAACCCATGACAAGTGTAGGGTGCAATCTCCTGTTTCCTTCGCACAGAATGATATTCATTTATCAGCCTCGGAAGGAAGAAAGGTTAATGACCCCAATCGAGGCTTTAACTCAAGAACTATCAATCCTGAGTTAGACACTCTAACTACTGACCAATCCCGGTCTAAAACAATGTGCGGTAAATCCTCTGCTTAAGCGAATTTATTCAAGACAAAGATTGCCGTTCACCGTTATAGAACTCGGAAACGCCGGAGTTCGAAGCAAACATCTTAACCAGCATGCCATACAGAAAACGGAATATTAATTGATCATTTGTTACCAAAATGCAACAAATGCAAAGAAAAAACCACACAGACAGTTCTTTATTTGTGTAAGGACATGTTTTCAACACCAGCAACGCAAATACTTCGTTTGAATTGTCTAGCCAGCCCCTCAATACCTAAGCTTCAAACTTGATGAATACTGTACGTCGTTACCCAGTCCGCACTTTGCTAAGTTCATTAATATTTATACGTACACAAGTTGAACATCACATGATTTTTTTATGCGGGAAGTGATATAATCTTTAGGTAAGTTACATACGGGAAGATAACGCATAATAGTTTCTTCAATTAGGAACATCTGACTTTTAGAACCAATCTCGGTCCGTTTTCAAAGTACAATGACAAAAGCCACATAAGTGTCACACTCCTTTTGTGCAAAATTTCGCAAATACGATTTCTA